ATGATTTATATATTAAATTTAGTGATATATATATATATACAGTAATTGATATAAATGAATGAAGTGAATTCCACTCAATTTGCTTTATAGATTATACAGTAATAATGAATTTACTAAATATGTTACTACTAGTACTAAAAGTTACTAAATATGTTAATATAAAATATAATGAATTATTTATTAATAATAATAATAATAATAATAATAATAATTACAAACAATGATAATATTAATATCCACTGACAAAAAAGATAAAAGATATAAAAAACAAATAAATAAATAAACTTAACCTCCAAACTCTTCAGATGGAATAACTCACAAATGTCTTACCCTACCTGATAGTGATGATCTGCCCAAAGTCTAGCTCGTAGTTGTTGACTTGAGCTATAAAGGGGGTAAGCAGATGAACATCAAATTTTCATTTTTGGGTGAACTATCCCACAGAGAAAGCTTTAAAAAGAACTTTTCTGAAGATGAAAAAAAGAGATCTCAGCAGCATATGATGTACAACATACCAGAATAAAACAACACTTATCCACATCCCACAGCCAAGCTGTCCATGAAGAGCATTGTTCTTCTCTCCTGCGGATCACAGGGAAAGGACACAATGACAACAGCACTCAGGAGCTCGGCCAACCAGGGGTCAACAGCGTTCGGCAAATCCCCTTCACATGTCCAAAGATTCACCGGCCCCCGATCGCTTCAGCTTCCCGTCGTGAAATTCGCTACAAAGACATTCACACGCACTCAAAATCCAAAGGTAGAGAAAGAGAACGGCTTTTGGTCTGTGAACGAGTCTAGACATTGGTCTCCAGACCATTCATGTTAATGGTACAGTGGTCTTTGTCTTTATAGTCTCGCTTGTAATGGTGTGGAGCCAGATGAGGGGACTTCTTCTTATCAGGGGGCCTGATGCCCTCCTCCAGCTGCATGAGACGGGCCACGTCGGGCGACAGGTGCTCGGGTTTCCTCATGGGGCCTGGCGGAGGGGACAGGAAGCAGCCGTTTTTCTGATAGGACATCATCTGCTGGATGCTGATCATGGGCTTGGTCTCACAGATGAGAGGAATCTGTAAAGAGAAGAGACGAAATCTGAATTTTATAGTGAAATGGACATTAGGGTCCACATGCAGCGTGTTATTTATTTTGAAGAACCTGTATAAACTCATTCTCACCTCCTCGCCCTCCTTCACGAAGTCTTTTCTGCATATGTGTGCCATGATTCCTGTGGCCAGAGCGTCACCCATCACGTTCACCATCGTCCTGAGCCGATCCCTGACCGATACACAAGTAAACGTCATAATCAACAAGTTCTTAATAAAAAATCAATCATAAATCTTAATGAGCATCGATCATCAGTGTTGCCAAGTACGTGGTTTTCCCATGGAATTGAGCTGCTTTTATACTGTTGCTGCAGGTCTCCCCACTGAAACACGATTTCGACCGAGGTAGGAACCCCCAGAAGGAGGTTTTGACCCCCCAGAGTTTTTGATCGCCAATTTGCCCTGGAAGGCGATTAGGCTAGTTTTGGTCTTGATTTGACTAGTTTAGCTATTGGGCTGGTTTTGATATGCAGACCTGGCAAGCCTGTCAATCATACATTTACAATGGAAATGAATAAGAGAGAGACTTACAGGGCCCAATCCACAGCAATAATAAGAGTGATGTCATCTGTAGGAAGTCCCACTGAGGTTAACACTATCACCATGGTTACCAGGCCGGCCTGTGGAATGCCAGCAGCACCGATACTGGCTGCTGTAGCCGTGATGCTGAAGTAAAAAAAAAAATTAAATACAGAATGCCTGGAGTAAGAACGTACTGATATCTAATATCTGTTAAGTTAT